GAGTGAGTTTCATTCCTTCCGATGATTTCCCCCTGAAAAAAGTGACCTCAAAGATGCAAAACTTGAAAAATTAAATTTTCATCGGTGAAAAAGGCCACTTTTTAGGTGAAAAATTCAACCGAAAGGAATGAAACTCACTCACATAACTTCAAATATGATTCTCTTTTATTCGCACCCAAAAACAATGTTTAATTCAAATAAATTCGTTAATTAAAAGGATTTAAAGTTAGTGCCATTTTCTCTTGTATGCCTAATCTTATGTTAAAAGCCTGAACCGACAAAAATTTTTGCGCTTACTTTGAGCGTTGACTAAATGAGACTGAGGTCGAATATTTTGATCGAACTAGACATGGGCCTTTGCCAATTCTTAATAATTGAATTAAAACTAAATTTAATAAAATAAACCTAATAATTACCTAAATATCATTGTTTAAAGTTAGTCTCATTTTTTATTGATCACCCCTTAGAACAGACTCAATAGCAGAAACCTCCTCGAAGCTTGAAATCAGAATTGAGTTCTTTCATGATCATCGCCATTTCCAAAATAAACTCGTCTTGAGTATCCACCGTGCTGCCAATAATGACATGAAACGTTTCTAAAATGGAATCACAGATCAGCTTTTCGTTTTTTTCATTAGATTTTTTATGATGAGAAAAGTCAATCCAATATCTTTTATTTGTTACTTTAATAAGCACGGATAATGCACAGATGGTTTCAACAAGACGGTGAAGAAAAGTTCTGAAATCGCAATGGCTCAATTTAATATTGGTTAATAATTTTCAAAGTTTTTTAATTTAATTTCGGTGTTTTTGATTTTTAATTTGATAACTCATGTATTGCACAGAATTAAATAGCAATTAAGAATCCTCTCAAAATTTGCCAAATTTAAAAAATCAATTGTAAAAATTGTTTATCCGATTACCATGACTCTGTGACAATTAGAGGGGGGTTTGACTTTTTGACTTGTCTACTAAAGATCCTTTGGTTAATGGCATTGCATCAACTTGTCAACTGAATCTTTTATTCAAATATAGTCATCTATGCATCGTCTGAATGTTACTCAACCTCTCTGGCCTACAACAGACGGTGAAACAGCAATAATAGTTCGATTCGATCAGTCCGAAGCATTCATTGGACTCAAGTAAGACCCAGTTTCCCTATCAAATGAATTAATCTAGCGCATCTTGTAACATTATTAAAATAGATTCACAGATTTAAAGACTTTTGACCATCAAGGATTATCTGTTGTCCATCTCATCAACAATCTAAACTTATTTTGACCTGGAAATGCTAATTGTCTAAAAGATATCAAGGCAAATTAAGATAAATATACAATCGTCATCATCATCATGATCATCATCAAATTCACAGTTACATTAATATCTCAATTGACAAACATGGGAACAAGTGAAGAGAAGATTTAGTCACGATGAGTTTAAAATTGCTTCACAATCAACATATTAATTCATTTACATGTAATTGACGTTCATTAAACAATCAGTTGAATGAAAGATAACAAAATAGTGATTATAATACGATTCTTGTGGTTACTCTGTTTAGGTGGACCAATGCAATCATAATAAATATGTGTGTTACTCTGGTTTCTGGTTCATTATTACACATCTACGAGAACTTCATTTGAATAAATATATTGTACACAATTGGATTTGATTATATTGATTAACCTTAATTGTGGGATCATGAATAATAAGCAAACATAAAAAGTGTTGAGTCAAGCTGATTAAGCGATGCGTTTTCTTACTCTTTACTTACAATAATTACAAAGATTATACATTCATTTAAAAGTTACTTAAGTCCATTTGGACTCACGAAGGTGCTTCCAACTGTTTAAACAAAAGTGGACATCATTGCTCGAATTATGTCTTTTATATCAATTTTGGCGGTAAGCATTTATTTTCTTCTTTTCTAAATTATTTGTATACAGAACTCGTGAGATTTACAGAATGATAGAGAAAACATTTCAAAATGGAATCACAAGTAAGGTTTTGATTTTTGATTGATTTTTTTATAATGAGAAAATTCGATTCAGTATCTTTCATTTGGTAATATGATCGTATTTTTGGATTTATAGTTACCGCGTAGATCGATTTTTAGAAAAAAGTTCTCACACAAAAGTTTAATGCGTTTAGCATCCAAGTCTATGGGATATTTGACGCTCTGTTTTTTCAATGTTAATTATCCCATAAAATTGACTATTTCTTTTCATGTCGATCTAAAAGTCGATCTATGAGTCCCAAAACTATGATCACAGTATCAGATGAAAGATATTGGTTTGAGTTTTCTTTTTATAAAAAAATCTAGTTGAAACCTGACGTGTGATTCCATGTTGGAATCTTTCAAATGTTTTTTCTATTCCTCAGTAAGTGAGTTTAAATCAAACTTTAGATTCACATTCTGATTCCAAAAGCTTCAGCATTGTTTCTGGCTTGGTTGAAATAGTCAGCATTGAAGCCTGATTGTGAAGCTTTGAGTTGGTCGTTATCGAAATTGAAACCAGCTTTTTGTGCAGCACTGTTATCGAATCCTATGTTTCGGTAATTGGATCCAGCTGATCGGTCAGAGGCAGATAAGCTTGAATCTGAGAATCCTCCATTAGGACTGAATTGACGGTTTGATTGAGCTCTGTTTGCTTCATTCAAGAATGATGAACCAGAATTCTCGTAACCTCTGGAGTTTTGAGCATTATCAGTGAAACCATTCAATGAAGATCGTGATCGATCAAGGTTATTTTGGTAACCATTAACATTACCAGAGTTGGTTACTTCTGAACCAGAACGAGATCCAACAGCAACTCTGCCTCCTTGACCACCACCAACATTAGCTCCAGCATTAGAGCCTTGTGAACCAGAGCCAGAGTTAGATCCAGAGCCAGATCGTCCACCTAAACCTAATCCAAGACCTTGTCCTGAATTTGATCCTCCTTGTGAACCAGATCCTTGTTGGCCATCAAATCCATTACCAGCTTGTGAACCAGATCCTCCATTACCATTAAGTTGACCGCCAATGCCTAAGCCAGCTCCACTGCCACCTTGATTTCTGGAGCCTGATGAGCCTGATCCAGAGCCTGATCCAGAGCCTGATGCTGAACCTGATGCTGAACCTGATGCTGAGCCTGATGCTGAACCAGATCCTCTATTACCACCAGATTGGCCTCCAATACCAGATGAGCCTTGATTACCTCTGCATCCTTGTCGACCCAGGATGGCTTTAATTCCGATACCAGAAGCTAAACCATTTTCATATGCTTGACGTTGTCTTCTTCGTAGTGTTGCTAAAAGAATTCAATTAAATTATTTTATATTATTTATTCAAACCTTAGTCACAAAATTGTTGACTTACCTGAAGATAAGGAAATCAAGGCAAAAACACAAAGAGCTAAAGCGACCTTCATTTTGGAATAAAATTTTGTTAAGAACTTGTTGATTGAGTGAATTGTTTCTCGAACAATAAAACGCAATTCCTTTTATACATTCTAAAATGTTCTCACTTAACAGAATCATAAGTCAAATTGTCCAAAATAGAAATAACAATTAATCTAAACATGACTGTAAATGATATCAATAGCCTTATTTATCTTGCATTACATTATTGTTTCATAATCCCATCAAAACAAACAAGTGATAAATCAAAAGGCTAAAACAGATGTTAATTGAATTATAGTGATGACTCAAATACCTTAATTTGAGTCCAACTCGATTCTGGTCTCATCCATTCGCTGTCATCAAAATATTATCGTTGGCCGTTTTGCAAAATTGTAGCCCACCTGAAGCCATGATTGCAAATAGTTTGGGTCTAGGTTTGAAGACTTTGATTACAACTGGACAAGTATTAATGGATGCATTCAATTATGTATCTCAATCAACCACTGCAATTGCAATACTGACTAACACTTGTTTGAAAAACAATCTTGATCATTGATTCGAAATATCGCTTGATTAATCTCTAAGGTTTAAATGATATAAACAGTTGTTAGACAATAAGTGATAAATTACATGAAATTGTTTCATCTAATGAGTTTTTGTTTCCAACGTTATTCATGACCATTGTGAACATGATTGAGTGGAAATGTGATCAATAATAATTGACTTCTCCAGTCTTGTTATTAATTTCATTTGAATCATCAATTGATTCAGTTTACTTGTTGTCAGTTATCAGTCCAGTAACCATTAAGAAATTGAAAGATCAAGATGATTCGTTCATTGGTAATTGTTTCCTTGATTACTTTAGCTTGCACAGTAAACTATTGTTCAAGTGCAAACTACGTCGATACAGGTAACATCTTTGATCGCCTTAATCCAATGCGAGCATTCGCAAGTACCCTCTCTTTACCCAGTAGAGTTATTCAAGGTGCTAGTAACATTGCTTTGGCTCCATGGAAAGGTAATGACTTCTCATCTCGAGGTGGTAGACTGCCCAATATGGGTAACCTCTTCAGGGGTGTTCCAGTTATTGGGTCAATGATGTCTCGACCATCATCTTCATTTGGAGCTTCTGGTAACTTTGGTCCTATGGCTCCTGTTGAATATGCTCGTCCTCCAGGCTCAGGCTCAGGCTCAGGCTCAGGCTCAGGTTCAGGCTCCAGTTCAAGTTCAAGTTCAGCTTCCAGCTCAATCCCTACTCCTGGTCAGTATGGTGGTCGATCAACTGGTACTGCTGCGGCCTCTTCCTCTTCTGGTTCTCTTCAGAATTCATTCAATAACCCTAACCTGTCTCTTCGACCAATGCCCGGATCTCAATCTTACCCTGTTGGTCTTCCTTCTTATCCCGCTAGCTCAACTAGCAACCCGTCTTCATCTCAATTACCCTCACTCAGTCTAGGACCAATATCGGCTTCTGCTTCAACTGGTTCACCAACTTCAACTTCCACTGGTTCAACTTCACCAAGACTATCAATTGACCCTAGTGTTGCCTCTGCTCTACAAAGCTTCGGCTTTAACTTGGCCAATTTCAACGCTAATGGCGCTTCTATTGGATCGTCACCCTCATCAGCAGCTTCTGCATCTAACAGACCCTCTGGTTCCGCTCAAGCTTCTGCTGGAGGTTTGACTGCCTCAGCCTCAACATCATCTGGTTCATCTGGTTCTTCACCATTTGGTTTGGGTTCATTCCTGTCATCCTCTTCAGCTCCTGGACTTGGTCAAGCTTCAAACTTTTTATCAAACCTATTTAGTTTCCCATTAAATGGTTAACATGTTAAGATCCTCGAAATCATAATTGTAATTTAAATGCCCAATCAAACTCGATTTAAAATTGAAAATAAAAATTAAATAATAAAAGACTAATACCTTAACTTAAGCATAATTTCGAGTTAATTAATTCCAATTGAGCTTAAAAAACATTAAATCAACTATTTTTCCTTCAACAAATCATTATAATACAATTGAAAATGATTCACTGTTAAGCTTTGTTCTGAAATTATCTGGAGTCAATTAATTAACTTGACTAATGGTTAGTAATTACAAAAGTCAGCAATTATATTACAAATCCTATGCTAAATCACGTCAAGTCACCAAAAACAATCTCTTTTCTGATGAATGTTCCAATAAATGATCCTGATAATGAATAATTTTAGAAGATTTGATCAAAATGTTGAGCATGTCCTTCAACAATCAATTGACGTAACAATCTGATTAGATGTCACTTTACTCAAAATTAAATTTATTGACAGAAAGTGCACCTTTAAGTCGAAGTATAACAGAATAACAGAAAATTAATCAAATTGTATTTAATTATTTTAGACACATCAAGATCACAATGAAACTAACCCAGGTTTCAAGTATTAATATTAATAGCTGAACATTTAAAGTAACAAATTTCGATATCTATCATTAAATCTCTGAATCGGGATCCAATCCTATTGAGAAGTTGTTTGCTTACGAATTTACATTTCATGAATAATATATAATGGATAAGTAGTATTTATTAGATTAATTATCAGTAAGACAGAAACACAACAGAAATTGTTGATACAACTGATATTTAAATATTATGAGATGCTTGGACAATAAAAATTGGCAACAGAAGTGAAAATTTTGATGGAAAATGCTTTTTTCAGTGAATCCATCGGATTGTCCACAGCTTTTCGAACCTCGACTCTTAATAATCGGATAGTTCATACTGTCTGTAACTGATGTTAGACAAGGTGTAAAAATTTAGACCAGGAAAAGCCAGAAACCAGTAAAATCAAGCAGAGCTCATGATTAATAAATGTATTTACGATTCCTTGGTATCGAACAGTTAATTTTTTGGTGATTTTCATTGTGATTTGACATCATCTTCAATGTCCAATTCATCATTATCATCTGATTTTGGCTTATCCAACCAAAATATGCTTTTTTGACAGCTATTAATTCATCAGGAGATATGATTACATTTATTTACAAGTGACTTCTCAATTGATTAATGTTATTTAGCATGCAATTGAATGTTTATAAAAGAAAGCTAATTGTGATTGCAGTTAGTCTTCAGTTCCAACTTCATCTTGTTTACATTCCATATTGAAACAAGTAGTGTTACAAGTAAATCTGAAAACAATCTTTCGTAAAATGCGCCTTTCAATCATAATCTTGACCTTTTTTGTTGGGTTGTCATGGTGCCAACAAACACAAATTGAAACCTCTGTTGATGGTGACCAAGGAAGAATTTCAATTCCAAATAACCCAGGGCGACTGATTGACTTGTTTCTCCATCCATTAAGACCATTTCTTGGTGAAGCTGGACATAAAGCTCTTCATAATGCTCTTGAAATCATTCCCATGTCTGTTCTCAATCAAGTCACAAACTTGGGTCAACTTTTTGGCGCACTTGTGACTTTCAATCCAACCGCTATTCCACAGTTGATCAATCAATTTTTCCCTGGAGCTTCATCATTTTTAAGTCTTCTTCCTTCTTTTGGAAGTGCTGGTCTCGGAGCTTTAACTTCAATGGCTGGTTCATCATCTCGATCCGCAGGTGGACTTGGTTCAAACTCTTTTGGTAACAGATTATTTAGTCGACCATCCAATGGTTATACTCCATCTAGTTCAGCTGATGCCACTTCATCAACCAGCTCACCATCATTCAGACAAACCTTTAATCCATCCAATATTGCCTCTGATTTGGTAGGCCAAGGTTTATCCAATTTTGCCGGAGTTACCAATAGTTTAGCTAATGGTGAACCTCTTTCAGCTCTCTTGACCATGGCTGGAGGTGCAGCTGATTCAGTTAATAGATTCGGAAATCTTGCTTCAACTGGAGCTAATATGGCTTCGGGATTAGCTAGTCGTATTCCTAATACTGTTAGCCAAATGTCTAATAGATTTTCTTCTATGATTCCAGGTGGCTCAGTTTCACCTTTCACAACTTCTTCATCATCTCAATCAAACGCAGGGAGAACTAATGAACGAAGTTCAGGACCATTTTCATCTCCATTGAATTCGCTTTTGAGAAGTAATCCTTTCACTTCCTTTCTAGTTGGACGATGAGCTTTTAGCTGTCGAAATAAAAATGTGAAATAAACAAATTATTTTTTCTGTCAATATGCGTTCATTATTTTATAGTCATTCCAAAATTGAGATTAAATCATAGCTTTGATCACTTTTTTTATAAAATGTTTATAATGTCCTTCATGATCTTGATCTTGTTCTGTCAACTTTTTTAACTCGCATACATAAGAATTTGTTTACTCGGTTACCATGAAACTGTGACAATTAGAGAGGATTTACTGTAATGATGGGCTCCAACTCTAAATTTGAAATAAAAAGATATTTAAATTAGTGATGTTCTTACTTTTTCAGATTTTAGTATTTCCGGTTTACAACAGATCAGGTTAAGTAACAAAAGATCTACAAAATTGTCTTCTAGAGTTGAAAGCACATGTTTTAAAGAGATCGATCAATTTTTGAGCGGAAAAAACGATAAGGCCGGTTTTAAAATCGGATCGGGACATCAATAATGTAAACGATATCGTATGAGAGCACAAACAAGCAAGTTTTCCAATCTCAAAGAGCATGATTCCAAGATCTAGGAAAAATTGAGACACTATCCTTTAAAGGTATTTCAAAATCAGCACTATTTTATATTAAAGCTTAAACTCACATCAAATTTCTCATCAAAAAAGCACCAAAACAATGAAAGGTTTCCAGTAAAAATAATTTATTTCACCAGCAAGTTGCCGGTTTATCTAAACTTTTTTTAAAAATGAAAAATGTTTAGTCCACACATTGGCGCGCAATACAAATTTTATTTTTCTATTTAAATAAACCGCATGTCTCTTAGGGCTACTAAGCTTAGTTGTGGATCGTCTGCAATGAAGACTCCATGTATTAATACTGTCCGATTATCGAATCTTATTTTGAAATCTTTCCCACTTAACAATTAAAACCTTTAGATCATAAATTTCATGATGTGAGTTCAGTCTACATGATAATAACCAATAATCAATAACAACTGGACATGAAATCAAAATTTGGAAATGTGAAAGGGTTCCAAAAAAGTGAGTTCATCTTGATTGTAATTCAATAGTAAATATATTTCTCTCTGCTCATTCTTTCTTTTTTGTTAACTTTTCTTACAGATCTCAGTTCAAACACGTATATCGTCTTATTACCAAGTATCAATGAGAACCTACCAGATAGCAAGAAATGTGTTTAGTTTGGCAAAAACTCGATGAAAATGTTATTGCTGTTTAAGCTGATGGTGAGATATTTTGCATTGATCTTGCTTCTTCTACTATCATCTAATTATCAAGAGTTAAAAATATTTGATCAGTAAAATGGAACCCAATACCTGATAATCACCACTCCGATTACAAAACAGAATCGGGAGTTTATTCAGTAAATGCCCCTGGTAACTGGTGATGATAAAACTTTAAACTGTCTGCAACTCAAAGATGATTCAAAATTATCATTTAAATTATGATCTCAGAGTAACCATTGCTGATGATTCTTGTTACTAACAAATACACAAGCAACAATCATTTTTTCAATTCCGTCAGCGGCTTTTTCAAAAAAATTTCTGTTAATGATACTGTTCTTATTGGCATTCAAAAGTGACTCGTTTTAATGGTTTTCCAATTTAAACCTCAGCTTTCCAATAAGTACTTCTGTTCATTTCAGAAATAAAAAGGTAATTATTTAAAGAATAAGATAAATAGAAGTTAAAAGTGTTTCTAAATTGATTAATTTCTTATTTCCACTAATCTAATCTTAATTCCAGGAATCGGTCAACAAAAATATAAATAAACTCGTTAACTAATTTCTGGTGCCTTTAAGTGAAAGTGAGTGTTTATTGGCTAAGAAAAGGCTTTCAAATTTCAATCTAGTAAGGTCAAGGGTCATGTCTGTAATGAAAAAATATCAGCTAAACAACAACATGATTAAAATTTGATAAAAATTTACAGCATTTGAAATTTCATTAACTCTTAATTTACATTTGATTGTTATCCTTTGTATTTTAATTGAGCTTTATTAGTCGTTATTGTTTGAGCAGCTGGGAAAATGAGTTCAAATAACAGATCTCGAAATATTTGGACTTGCTATTAGTTTGTTAGTTGTTACGAAGTTTGTTGGAGCTAAATATTGGTTGCCATTTAATTGACTACTTCAATAATTCAATTAATTATTTAAATGTTAGTCAAACAATATTAATATCAGCATCAATTTTCAAGTCGCGTCTAAAGTGATTTGAGGTGTTAATAGCTCATGTAAATGTACCGATAATCTAATAGAAAATGTAAAAGCTTAATAAAAGTTTATCAATTGAGTTAATCAGTATCAAATTTTCGTGTTGATTTGTCTATTGTAACACAAATCGTCAGTCTATTAAAGAGTGTAAAGATCCCTTTCATGTTGGCCCATTCAAAAGTTATCTCAACTTCAATCATCAAGAGTAACTTGAGTAACTGCAACTTTTTTGACTTTACTTGGCTTTCCTATTGAACAAGTATGATAAATCAGTTATCATAAAATCAAATTGATTGTTATCGCAAAGTTAACTTTAACCTTGCCATTGAATGGCAACAATTATAAATGAAATGATAATACAATTAACATAATTCATTAATTTTTTCTCGTTCATTTGCCATCTTTTTTCAATAATTAACATTTGCTATTCAAGAAACTTTACAGAGTTTTTCTCATTCTCTTGACCATTTTTAACAATTAATGTGAACAAAACGATCAATCAGCAAGACAAAGCTTATCATTCAAATCTTACTTCTGAATACAAGACTCAACACTTGACCACTGGAAGAAGGAAAAACTACAGGAAAAGAAGGGTCAGTTAAAGGGTCAATGAAGATGAAGACGATGAAGATGGACTGGAAAGAAGATGAAAGAAGAGAAAAAAAAGAAAAACATTTTTGTCAAGAAAAGCGAATTTTTAGGTTGACAAAGTTTTTGTGATCTGCTTACTGTCACAATAAAAGGACGAATCAACTTGAAGCTAACTTTCGGTCAACTGAAATCTGTGATCGTCTGATTCAGTTATCAAGTCAATAAACAGAATTAAAGATTGATTAAGAAAGAATTCTACAGCAAATTAAGGTTTCACTTGGTTCTTGATTTACCGTTCAAAGCATAACTATTTAATGATATAAGTTTATCTCAACATTGCTTTCAATCTGAAGACTTGTCTTTTGTAAAATAAATGCAATGAAAGGTTTATTAGCGGGAGGCCAAAGGACATGCAAGTCTCGCCTTAAGAGTGACAAAATATCGTCTGATCGTCTATTTAAGGGCCATTTTAAGGCTAAAGAAAAGATGAAAAGAAGAAAAGGAAAAAAAAGAAAAGTGTTGTTATAAAGACGGAAGAGGGATAAACACGCTAGTAATCCGCTTGCCTCTTTTGTTGTCAAAAAATGACCAAAAAACACGAAAGTATATCTTTGTCGATATAAAATGTACAAGACTTTGTAATAATAGGAAAGAGACTTTCATGTTGCCCATTTTGCTGAATGCTTGACTTTATTGACACCAATATGTACTTGAGTGTGTGAATTAGCGAAGGGAACAATTGGGCGAAAATGAAGTGCCAATAAAATGATGACAACCTGAAAAGGCTCATCAACAACATAACATTGCAACTACAACAATTGCTATCAATTCGCGATTTACATTTGGTATTCATGCTGAGTCTTGAATTGGTCCGAAATGGCACTTTATGGTGAACAAGGAATCAATGAAAAGACAATTTACTTTAATTTTTTGTCAAATATTGACAAACACTGAACACAAGCAATTGAAGGTTGAAATGATTTCTCTATAAATCTTCAGCTACTGAGCATTCGCAGACAGACCAATGTTAATAATCAGTTAACATTTCAAGTAAAACCAACAGTTTAAAAGCAAACCGAGTTAGATGAGTTTATGTCTAATCCAACAATTGTTTAATTTTTCTTGATCAACATTTTCAATCACATTCTCTTACATAGACTATCACAATTAGACCAACTCTTTAAGTTTAATCAATTTTCATGGTTACTGCCGATTCAAGTTGAACAAATACTTTTGACATTCGGACCAACTTTTACCTTGCTATTGTCTTCTGTCAACTTTTATGTTTTAATCTTCATCTTTTGCTTCTTTGAATGTGAAAATTGTCTTTTCTTCTCTCTCTTCCTTTCTTTATCTTCTTTTCTCCCTTTCATCCTTTCTCTCTCCTCTTCATCTTCTCTCTTCTCACTCTTGTTCATCTCTCTCATTTACACTCCTCACTCCTTTATGGTACAATTTCATTCTCATTTGGTCCACAGACGCACTGTTATTGTTGGTGTTACACGTTATGAATACATCTTTTGCACCAAGAGACTTTGCTTACACAACTTTTGGTTCATCTTTGGACTCGTCAATTATTCCAAGTCCTGGAAGTGATTCTTCGTCAAGTTACAGGTTATCCTCATCTTCATCTCCACCATCTTCATCCAACATTTTACCTTTACATTCATCTTCAACGATTCCTTCGGTGACAACTTCTGTGTCTGCTTCTTGTTCTAATGTGTCTACTCATGCATGCAAACTATCCACCTCTTCGTCGACCATGAACCAAGGCACCTTAGATATTCCAACAATCAAACATAAAATGGATGAAGAATGTTACAGTTCTTCGACAGAAACGACGATTGCAATTTAACAGGACATCCTTCGCCATCTCCATCTTCACCTCCACCGTTAATCTCTCATCATAACTCTCACTTTCGCCATGGTTCAGGGAACCTACAAAGTCACCAACAACAACAACCACAACACCACCACCATCATCATCAATACCAACATCAACACCACCAATTACTTCAGCATCCACAGCAACAGCAACTTCACCACCAACTTCAACATTCACACGATTCCCACCAACAAGACCAACACCACATTCACCAACAGCAACTTCATCATCAGAATCCTTCTCTCGTCTCTAATGTGCCAATGTTACCCATTAATAATGTCAGTCGATTAGCACTTGATGATGCATCTGGTGATTTCATTGGTAAATCAAATCCATTTGCTTGGAGTTCACTTACCAATGACCAGATAACTTGTGTCTGTGAAGCTTTACTTCAAGCCAAAAAGATTGATAAACTTACGCATTTCCTTTGGTCCATTCAAGATTCACCTCAAATTCATTACAATGAAACTGTCCTTCGATCAAGTGCTCAAGTCGCCTTCAACCGTGGTAATTACAAGGAACTTTATAACATTCTTGAAACACACCATTTCGATAAAAGATACCATCAAGAACTTCAATCTTTATGGTAAGTTTAAATGAAAATTATTTCCTCTTGATTCAATTTCTGGTGAGATTTGTTGATGAGTATCTTTTAAAGGGATGAAAAAAGCAAATGAAAATTAGGGTTTTTCACAATAAAGGCCATTGTCATAAATTATCCTGATTACGGTTAATTTTCCTCGTATTAATCGCCTTTCCATGACAGCAATGTAAATTTAACATTGTTTTAATTTTTTAATGAACCTCTTTTATTTATTGCATTTGCTTGTTTCGTTTTACTTTACAAATGGTCTGATAAGGTCCAAATAAGTTGATTAGGTTCAGTGAATTTCGATGTAGGTTGTATTTTCATGAATAACATAAACATAAATGATATAATTGTAAGTCTGAGCCATAATTTTCGTAAAGACAAGCAAAAATGAAAATTGAGTTTAACATAAACTAATTTATAATTTCATCCATTTCTTCAATTATGCTTTATATAAAGGTACAAAGCTCATTACAAAGAAGCTGAAAAGATGCGAGGTCGAAACCTTTGTCCAGTCGATAAATATCGTCTAAGGAAAAAGTATCCACTTCCAGCGACCATTTGGGACGGAGAAGAAATGATTTACTGTTTTAAGGAGAGATCGCGTAAATTGTTGAAGGAAAGCTACAAAAGCAATCCTTATCCGAATCCAGACGACAAGAAGAAACTGGCCGAAAAGACGGAACTCACAACTACTCAAGTCAGCAATTGGTTCAAGAATCGTCGTCAACGTGATGGGAAACATCCAAAGCCCAGTCCAAACAAACTGTCCCTTCCTCAAATTGTCTCACCATCGCCATCAAAGCTGGTCCATAATTATGCCGTTGGTTACCTGTGATTTTACTGACCATTCAAAGGGAAGCGAAAAGAAGAGAAAAAAATGTTGAAATTTTTTCATGTTCATCTGTTTATCTTCAATCTGTTGCCTCATTCATTCAGTATTAATCACTTAGGATTTACTTATCGTTTTTCATTGGAATGAGCAATGAATCATTCATATCTCAGGTTTTAACTGATCAAAGTTAGAATCAACATTTTCTCATTCCACTGAATTTGAAGGAAAACCTTCAACCAATCAACCAAACATGGCTTTAAAATTATTATCATTTTTCCTCTCTTCTTCTTCTCTTTCGCATTCTCTTTCGCTTCCTTTGGATAAATTCAACAAACTCATTCCAATGAAAGGAATGAGAATGATGAACAATTACCTGCAATTGAATGGACAATCATTGCAACTAGAAAATGATTGAACTAAACAAAAGGCCAAAACAAAAGACGCAACTAAATCGTTATGTTTCCACCTTATTATATCTTCTCAGCTGTTTCATCAGCATAATACCATTGCTCACAACTTTTCATGTTAATTTTGATCAACAATTTTTTACATTGCATATTATTTTAATTACAATCCTTTTCTTTGTTTTTCTGTAATTTTTCATTTCTAAATTGTCTTTGATTTCTCGTTTTCCTCTTCTGCCAATACAAATCACTCGAAAAAGTGGATGAAACAATTTATAAAAAAATTGATAAATTGATAAATTAAAATTAAAATCAAAACTTTATATTGTAATGAAACTATGAAAGTTAATTAACGGCTAATAATCATTTTGACAAGAAGACTGTTGATGTCAATCAGTGTTTAATTAGAAACGGAAAGCAAAGGTGCAATTAAAGAAGCGTTTTCAATTACAAGTCATTTGATCTCAAGTAAATGAGATGAGATAATGATATTGATCATGATTAAAAGATGATCATGTTGTTGATGTTATTCATCTTCTGATCATGATTAAGGTTATCAAGTGAATATGGAAATGAACATGATTAACTTGGCATAATGATACATATAACAATCAAATGAATAAGGTTATTGCCATTTTGCAGTAAATTGTAATTGTTCAATTGATTATCAATAATTGTGAGATTTGAGATGAAACTATTTGTTTTGATTGTATTTGATTAACAACATTTGAAACAAGTAAACGAAAAGCAATTTGAATTGTTGATTAAGCTTTGAAGAAAGGTTAAGGATTGGACTTTCATCTCAAAATGAAGTTGCAGATGATGCTAATGTTTACAGTGATGGTGATCTGTTTGGCCGGAAATGTTTCAAATCAATTTTGCTTCACATTTCTTGAAATTTGATCAGCAAACTGAAAAGTGATCAATAAGTAATGAGAAGCAACATCAATTATTATTTAAACCAATATCAACATATTAATTTGTAGTGAAACAATTATTAAACATTCATTTGTTTTGCTCCAATTATCAGCTATTCACTTTCACTTGAAACATTCATTTAATTAGATTTAATGTTTCATCAGTTATCAACGACAATTAAAGGTTGATATTGATTATTATTGGGTGAATAAAGCAAGATTACTGAATACTGGTTGAAGCAGCAAAATGGAAACTTGTTCATCATCTTCATGGGAGAACCTATACAATGAATATCGACAAATAAAACAAGATCAAATTACAATTGAGACGAACATTATTATTATTATTATTATTATTATCTTATAGGTTCAGAAAAGGCTTTAAGGTCATTTTAAAATGATTAAAGAGCCATTGGAATCAACTTGTTAATTGTAATCTCACCTCACAATTGCTCCAGTAAGATGATGATTAAACCAAAGATTAACCTTAAAGTTTCATCCTTTTAGATTGAAAGATTCACATTTCAAATTATATAAAGAAATTGAATAAATGTGATTCAGGTTAAATGATCAACAATAAGCAGATGAATGGATTAACTGAAAATTGTCAACTATTGTCATTAAGATTACGAGGGTTGACCATGTAAATGAAATTAAATTTATTTGCCTTTGTAAAAGTGATCAGTAAATGGACACAATTTGATTAAATTATCTTCTTTCTCTTCATTTACCTATAAGGAAACTTATAGGATCTTGGCATCAACTTACCCCAATTTAAAGGTCATCATCTTCATCTTCCTTTCATCTTCATCTGCATCACTCACTAGTCAATTGATTTGATTTTCATCAATATCAATATTCCCTTTTGACTTTTGCTTTATAATAATATTGAAATTTACTTTCAAGTGAAGACTATTATTTTAAGCTAACAATGAAAAACACATGATTTGTGTCTTCATTATCGTGATTATCATTTTCATGAAATGTGTCGATGAAAAACGACTCAAAGTGTTTCATTAACATCAGTTAATTGACTGTCAAATGATTTTGATTGTTGATAAAATTATTATGGATTGGACATTATGCAACAATCAAAGTCTCTCTTTGCTTTTCAGATTAACGGTAAACTTGGTCTTCAGTTTATCATCTCTTCACTTCTCCTTCCGTAAATTGTAACATTAAGGTCTTTTCAATGGGAGACTAAATATGAATCAGTTAAACTGTAAAAGTGGTCCTTTCATCTTCCTCGGGGATCATAATCATGCTCATTTTGGCTGCTCTCTTCATCACTACTTGACGTCAGTCAATTGAATATAATTGATCCCGTTGGGATTTATCAATCTTGATGCCGTTGTCCATGTTAAAACCATGAATCCATTTTTGATATCAACTACTTCTTTTTGTCTTTCATGTGGTTTATTTTAGGTTATCCCTAAGAAAACGGAATAAAATTCACTTCTCTTGGGCTTTCATCACTCTCCATCAAAATCAGTTATTTGTAATAATATTGATCATGTTTCGCTAATTGAAGACAATTGGCTTCATTGAGCATTGTTAAAGTAACATCACCGGTCGATTGCTAGTTGAACCTGAAAAAAATGAAAAATTGTATTCTCATTATTTTAATGATACAAATAAATTTAGCTTCATTTCTTGGCTTACAGATTCTGTTTGCTTGATAACAATACTTACGTCTATTTTGGTGTCTACCTGTGTTTAATTTAGTTGCTTGGTGATGACCAATGAAACGAAAATATGATTCCCATTATAAGTAATTACAATGAAACCAAACAAGCAGAAAGTAAAGGTAAAAGAGAGCCAAATGGATCCTCATTTAGGCATCGCTTTAGGTTCTTGCAATAGTCCACATTGACCTTATTTAAATCGAAGGCAGTTTGAAAATTGAAAAGCCAACTTCCGCTTGATGTCATTAGCTAAATTAATCGAGAAACCCGTGATAGTAACCAAAATATCCATTGATCCTAATCGACTCCTGGAAGCCAAACGAGTTGATCTTGTTGAATGAAAGAAAAGGGTTAACATATAAAAGAAGAAATGGAAAGAAATTAAGAAATGAAGACAAAAAAATGAAGAATCGGGATGAAGTTGAGAGACCAAGTTGAAGAAGAAGCAAAATAAATTATGCGAAGAGGTTAATTTAATACTAATAATAATGATCGTAATAATAATTATTATTATAGGAGTTGCTCGAGTTTTGGTAACATTTATTAGAATAAAGTTTCAGATTACAGTTTGATAATGTCCTCTGCTGTACCAAATGAATAGATAGAAAGAGATTGGGAGTTGACAAAGTCTTTCTCTTCACTCAAATTCAATGGTGTGAACATATTTCTTCCTATTTCTCTTTCTTTTTCTCATTTACTGTTGAGCCTTTCTTCAGCTTCTTTTCATTCAAGATGATAATGGTGATGAAGAAGAAAAAGTTAGAAATGAAAGAGCGAAGAGAAGTGAGTTGCAATGAGAAAAAGAAAAAGAAGATTATGTGGTTTCAAATTACAGGAGACTTACTGAAATATTGAAGTTGCTGGAGTAGTTGGTTGTACTGGAAGCAGTGGTGGTAGTAATATGTTGTTGTTGTTTGTTCATGTTGATGTTGGTGTTTCATATACATTTTGAATAGTAGTGGTGGTGCGCATCAATCTACAGCCATCATCACCAATGGAAGAAGGAAATTATGAAGAAAGAAAAACAAGAGAAGGTCTTTGGTCCCTCTTTTTCCTTTCCTTTCGTCGTCAGCTTCTTTTCGTCTTCATCTTTTCTTTATTTTCTCCATACAAGCTCAAATTACCGACCAACACATAGCTTTAACTTTCAAATAATTCACACTAATGTTGTTCTGATGATCATTGATCACAACTCTATCATCGATTGATTGATAATCGATAAAAATCGCAACAAATAATTTTTGGTTAATTTGTCGAGTCTTTCCTCGTACCTGTGTTAAATAGACAGCTTTGAACCAACCAACGTGATTTTCAATTAAATTTGAGTATTTATTTTGAAAAAACTAATTGAAATGACAGGCTGATCTTTCAATCCTAATTTATATTTTGAAAACATTATCACTAAAAACGCATTCCCGCAAAAACGAAATAAAAGATGCCAGTAAAATGGAACAAGAAAAATATCTTTAATTTTCAAGACAAATAGAGACGCAGTAATAAACAAATATAAATTAATTATGATTTATAACCATTGGTTTAGTTGAATTAAGTATTCTAGATAATGATTGACATTTTGGATCATCTCTACGTCCAGCTAAACATCGAGCTGCTTCCTCAGGCTCTAAATTTGCAGCATATATTTTCGCAGCAAATTCCAAGTTATCTTGACTCTCTTTAGTCTTTGCCCATGCATTGAGAATATCCCCGATTAGTTGAGAATTATGAGGTGCACAATTCTTTACTAGAATGAGCGATTCTTTGTACAAACCAGCTTTCAATAATACACTGACTGCATCAGTGATACGATGCAAAGATGAATAATACATAGCAGCTTGAGTGAATTCATTGGAGTTTTCCAGTTGCACAGCATAAAGAAGTGTAATTTTGGACCAAAATTCTCTTGAAATCGATGCTGACATTGCAACCATCCAATCATTTAGTTGCTTAGCTCGGGAAGCTTCGATGATAGTTTCTTTTAAATTTCCTTTCAATGCAGAAACTTGGTAAGCGAGTGAAAAATTACTGTTTGTTTTATGATTGCAGATTTCTTCTTGGACGAGTTCTGCAATATCGTCCTTATCGAGAAATAATAAACATCTTTTCCGTGCTTCATCGTCATTATTGGTGCCGGGAATCGTATATTTTCTTTCAATTAAATATTCAATATCTTGAATGGTTTGAAGCTTCGTTGAGCAATTTTCACTTATATTTGCTAAAGGCAGCAAAGATTTTTTCTTTTCTTTGATGATGTGTTCATTCAAAGTTTTTGATGAATTTTTAAGTTTAGACGAGATTTTTGGGCGGATTATAAGGGATTGATCAAGAGAATCATTGATCCGATTTGTTTTTTTCTCTCTGTGCGGTATTGCCTACAAAAAATAAAGACATGATTAAGTATATGATACGTAAATGGAAACTATGTAGCCAAAAATACACTTACCACTTGTTGAACAATATCGAGATCTGGGAGGTCGGGTTTTTTCAAAGATAATGGGTGACTTTGTAGAGATCGTAAGATTTTGACATCATATTGGTACTTTCTTTTAGAATTAACTTTAGAATAATCTGATAATTGATGGTCAAATGAAGATCGCGGTGTGTTTCTTGCAGCTGCAGCAGCTGCTCCTGAATAAACATTCTGAGACATAGCTTGCATCATACCACCAAAGGAACAGGAACTATTGCTCTTATGACGATGGTGTTGATGATGATAATAGTTATTTTCCTCGATGGAACAGAACTTATTATTAATTAATTAATTTGTTAATTAGAGATAATCACAGACCAAATTTTAAAGCTGTTGTTTCAAACAACTTGTTTGGGATCCTCCAGTAACGCTATCTAGTGGTTCTAAAAAAACTTGATTTCAGAGTTGGGCGAATCCGAGTAAACTCCGCCCGCCTCTATAAGTAACTAAAATCAAGTTATTTTAGAAGCACTAGATAGCGTTACTGGAGGATCCCAAACAACACGAAGTGACAGCTTTAAAATTTGCTCTGTGATTATCTCTAATTAACTAATTACTTAATTAAAATTTGTGTTTAATCTCTTTAAAATCGTGTTCTTTAGTATCAGTTACCCCTAAATCAACCTTCTTGACCAACTTATCGGAAATTTTTCCACCCATATCAACAACACCAACATCAAACCAGCATGGCTTCAACCATTGAGACACTGGACTATACAACTTTAAAAACATGTAAAAACACTGCCGATATTCTACCTACCCTGAAAGGCTTGGAAACACCTTCAACCCTCTATCATATACGAGACAACCTAGTAAAATTTTCGGATGACATGCTTGCTCACATGAGCCAAACGAACAGGAACAAAATCAGCAACCAAACACAGAACTTTATTAATTGTATGCTAACAATGATTGACTATGCTGCAAAAGATAATAGTGTTGGTTCAATGAAAGAAGTAGATATCTCTAAAATTGCTGATTGCCTCGCCAAAAAAATAACTAACACCCAAACACGTGTTCCCTCAACAACAAACAAGAAACCCATTAAATTCCTAATTAAGCCTAAGGACCCCTCAATCAATCCTGACTCCATTTTCAATGAATTGTCAAACATTGCCAAAAAAGATTCCTCCATCCAAATTGATGAGATTAAAAAGGGTCTCACAGCTGTTAAGGTATCATCAATGCATAAAACCACCAAGAACAAGATTACCAACCAACTTAACTCTATGGAAATTGGCTCAAAAGTGGAAATCAAAGACATTAATCTTCTCCAACCACAAATTTCAGCTGTTATTCATCAACACTCACTCGAAGATGTAGAAACCATCAAGAAAAGAAATAATATACCCATGGAAGAAGAACTTAAGATTATTACATCTTTCGATATCCCTCAGAGAAATCAACCAGCCAAGAAGAAATTAATTTTAAGACTGAGCAGAAATGCTAGACAAATCATAGAGGACAAAGGAAGAATGTATATTGGCAGCGAAAGTGTTAAAATTAGAGACAATTTTTACATCAAAACTTGTTCAAATTGTATCAACATCGGCCATACCTCAAATTTCTGCACCAACAGCGCATGTTGTCATAAGTGTGAGAAAGAGCATGACCCAATTCCATGTGAAGCTGAACCTCAAACATGCTGTCTCTATTGTAAACACATTGGTGAAACCCAGAATTTAGACCACCGTCCAAAATCCAAAGAGTGCCGAGCCTACCAACAAGCCATCAAGAACCTAAAGCAAATCACTGACTGGGATTATGATCTTTAAAGTTATCAATTTTAACTGTGGTAAAAACTTAACTAAAACATGTGAAGTTTTAAATGAAATTCCTAACAAATACAACATTGCCTTACTTCAAGAAACAAATGACCTTGCCATCTCCTCCATCAACAATCCTCTCCTCCAAGCAGTTCAACTCAACCGTTCATCAATAATAACCCTCAGAAAATCTGTCATTAAAACCTACAAAATACCTCCCGACTCAGTTGCTGCTATCGTTAACATTAAAGGCCACAAACTTCTTGCTATTTCAATCTACTTTGCCCCTCCAATCACATACATTGAACTGGAAAAAATCACCATCTCTATTCAGAAAATCATTACCAGCAATACCAACCTACCTATCATCCTTGGAGGTGATGTCAACTCAGTCCACCCTTCATGGTCCTTTCAAACTTATGAAAGAAGTATCTCCAAAGGAACTTTAATTCATAACCTACTTAGTTCCAAGAACCTAATTATCCTCAACCAACCATCATCATCAAACTGGACTCTCAATCCCAAGGTTAACTCAATGCCTCAATGGATTGATATACTATCAACAAATCTGCCCTCATCATACAACACTTTCAACCATGTGACCTCAGTTATTAACAAATACAATTCAGACCATAACATACTTATCTCCGAAATTCATATTGATAACAAGAAACAAAATGAACCTCCAACCAAGATCTTCCAACAAAAAATCTACAACAACATCATTAAACACCTAATTCATAATGCTAAAATTGACGAACTTTGTGACATCAATGAACTTTTCTGGAAAATCATCAAAATAAGAGTCGACTCCCTAATGAATCCTGAATTTTGGAAACCAAAAAAAGCTTTCAACTGGAGAAATGAAATCATTGACCATCATATCACTGCCAGTCTTAAAAACTTGGCCAATCAAAAGAAAAAAGAACCAAACTCTATTGACGATAAAGAATACTCCAAACTCAAACACATTCTGATTAACAGAATGTATAAAAACATTCATGATTTTTTTGATGAGTCCAAGGAAACGAAAGAAATCTGGAAAAAAATCACATACTTTATTCAAGATCATGATCAACTACCAGAAGATATTTATTCGGACAACCTGGCTAACCTTCAAAATGAATTTACAATCAATTTTGAAAATTTCTCCCTAACTCCACCTCTATCTCTGCCTGTCAAACAAAACAACATTGAAATAGACACAATAACAATCAAGCAACACCTCAAAAAACTAAACAAATCAGCCGCAAATGGACTTGACGGAATCTCTCTAACCATCATAAACGAACTGGTCAATGAAATCCCAGATAAAATTACTAGAATCTACACCCTTCTTCTCCAACACAATTTTTTCCCGGATGCATGGAAAATATCTAGGACAGTATTTATCCCCAAAAGCGATGGTAAAAGACCTCGACCAATCTCTATCCAATCCAATTTTGCCAAATTACTCGAATCCATCATAATCCAAGACCTTAGAGACTCCATTCATCCATCTACCTTCACTGGACAACATGCTTTTCAGGAGTCAAAGAGCATCAATACAGCCTTGACTGAAATATCAGCCACTGTTGACAGCTTTCGTCCTAACATCCCCTCTCTTTTCTTGGTGGACATTGAGTCAGCTTTTGACAAAATTTCCCATGCTCACATCTTGAAAGAGATCTCACGACTTGGACTAAACAATAACACAACATCTTTAATTCAAAACTATCTCTCAACAAGATTCATGGCTGTCCAAACAAGAGAATCAACCAAACTCAAACCAGTTATCGACGGAGTACCTCAGGGCTCCATCTTAGGACCTTTCCTTTTTATTATTGGTGTCCAACCAGTAATTGACTCGCTAAACAACGATCTGCTATCTCAACCTCCAATTTACCGCAACAAGAGGAAAACTCTGGACACTTCTTACCTAAACTTAAAAGTCACTGCCTATGCTGACGATCTGATATTCATAATAACCCCTAGACTCATTGATGCACCTGAACACTCTGCTATGTGTACCTCGGTAATCATGAAGAGATTACTAGAACTGCTTCGACCACTAAACCTTTCCATTCTACCTCAAAAAACTCAGCTTGTTGTTGAATGCTCCCGAATATCCAAAATTAGAAGCATTGGATCATTCAAAATTAACACTAACTCATATGCCAAAATACTTGGTATAACCTACAAACTAACAACTAACAATAGATTCTGCATTGATTCCTTAATTGACAATATAAATGCAAAATCTAACAAACTACTAACAAATCACCCAAAACTTACTTACCTTCCCCTCAAAACCCTTAATCTCATTAACTCATCAAAAATTGAATCCCTTCCAATAACCTACTGTCAAGTACTTTTTCCTCAATTAATTAGATCCAACTCCGAAAGAAATAGACTTGAGTATGCCTGTAGCAGGCTAATCAGAAAATCAGTAAAATATGATTGGAGCTTAAACTCTTTGACTGTCTGTGCTTTGATCGGAAGAATACCGATCTGGGCCAGAATGATTGAGATTAACCTCAAACGAGTATATAAAAACATGTTCAGTAAACATAATGTAACAGAATGCCTTGAAATTTTCAACTCCTACCCTCACCTAGCCCCCTCAATCAATAGTAAACAGGTTTGGTGGGGAATCAATCAAATGATTTCCAACACCATCAACAACATGATTGATGACCAATGGATCAAAGAAGACCCAAATGGTAGAATAATACTTGGAAAATGGAAACCACTCAAGATCAGAAACAAACTTGATAAACATACCTCTATGCTTTTCGGTAAATTCAATGGTCTTACTGACAAAAAGTGTATCTGTGGAGCTCTCATCAATGACCCGATCCACTGGATCACCCAATGTCCCATAAATGAAAACATCCGAACCACAACACTTAATACCCTTGAAATAGACGAATCTAAAATAATTCCCCTCTTCCTCGAACCCTACAAATCCTATCTCCTCCGTGACCTCTTTGAAGCTACCTTTACATCACATATACTTCCAAAAATCAATACCTTCAATGAAAACAAAAGAACAAAAGCTAAAATAGCTTCAACCCAAAATCAAAACCTCAAATTATAGCAAATATCCATGAAACAATACTTAAATATAACCCCAATATTGTAAAACCTTCATATTTTCAATTTTCCCGTACAAACATCAACGGGTTTGCGCAACTAAGCAACCCTAACCATTGTAACCGTCACTACGCAAGACTTATAATAAAACAGCTTTAAAATTTGCTCTGTGATTATCTCTAATTAACAAATTAATTAATTAAATTTTGTGTTTAATTTTATTAAAATTGATCAAAATTGGGGCCTACTAATGTTTCCAATTGGTCTTGGAATGGTGGAATTAAGGTCCGCCTTTGGTATGTATGCATGTATTTTCATCCCAGCCCAAATTCGATAATTTTTTATTTATTTTTTTTAATAAATGTTATTTCTCAACTTTTTTAACTACAGCCAATGATAATCTGCGGACTGCTGGATTTCCTCCACCGCCGGGTTATTATAGTGGTATGCCAGGAGCTCCACATGGACCTTCAGCCATGGGACATCATCCTGAATCATCTGATATGAGTGCTGTTGCAGCTTCAGTTACTGGGGCTGGTTCATTGTTTACACACCATTTGAATCCTGGCTCATTAAATCATAATCATCAATCAGGAGATGCTGGTCCTTTTGGTATTTTACCACATGAATCTGTGAATTTGATGAACTCGACTTCAGGATCCACTATTAACCATCATTCTCATCCTCATTCTCATCCTTCCTCACATTCTCATCCTTCCTCACATTCTCATCTTCACTCACATTCACATGGTCATCCTCACCCTCATTCACATCCACATGGGCATCCTCATGCATCCTCGCAAAATATGTCCTCTCATCTTAATTCTTCCAACAACTACAATAATAAGTTCTGTTCCATCGAGGATAATAACTATTATCATCATCAACACCATCTTCATAAGAGCAATAGTTCCTGTTCCTTTGGTGGTATGATGCAAGCTATGTCTCAGAATGTTTATTCAGGAGCAGCTGCTGCAGCTGCAAGAAACACAACGCGATCTTCATTTGACCATCAATTTTCAAAGCAACTTGCCCATGCAAATCATCAAGCATCTGATCCATATTTTAACAATTTCTTAATGTCCGATTCAACTTCACAGTATTCATCTATGAATTTTCCTAATTCTTTGGCTCGTGATTTCATCAGTTTTGGGAATAATTCTCACTCTTTTAAATATAGTCATTCAAATTCCTGCTCTAATCAGACTCGTGGTAATTCATCAATCACGAGTAACAACCATTTAAGTAGTTGTAGTATGATGATGTCTAATTTAACAACTAACAACTACTGTCCGAATGCAAACCTTAATAGTCCATCTCGTTCTTCTTCTGTTGCAAGCAGTCATGCAATTTACCATGGAAGTGAGTCATCTTCATGTAGCTATGGCTTATCTGCGTATCCTACTCCTCCATCTAGCGGTAATCAACAATTGCCGCCACAACCAGGAAACACACAGGATGATTCAATGAGACATTTTCATGTTAACTCTCAAAATAATGCAAAATCTCATCAAACTAATTTTAATAACTCTCCTTATCATCCTCCAAAAGTTTCAAGTGGAAATAATTCTTCAGGTCATGTAATCTCTAATAGTTCCTGCATGGTAGCTGCAGCTGCTGCAGCAGCAAATTCGAATGCTGCTAATGTGTCCGTCAATTATCTACAGCATAATTTAAAACCAATTGGAAGTGGGGATGGTGAAAGTTGCCTTCCAAATTTAGCACCAACGATCTCAGATGCTATTTCCAATAGTAACGAAATTAATAAGGTTCAACTGAATAATAACATTGATCCTTTGATTACTAATGAACCCACATTGAACTCAGTTTTCAATGGGCCAGAAATCGAGTTTCCTGGAGAAATTGAGTTCGCTTTCAATAATCTTCAATCTGATATTCTAAATGGAGCTCTCGGTGATCAATTGTTTAATACTGGATCCCGCCATTCAAGTCATTCAAATAATTCCGATCACTCTAACTCTTGTCCACAAATGGTTAATTCTAATGAATCTAATGAAATTCTTCTGGATAGACCTCAACAACCACAAGTACCTCTATCTTCGACATCTTCAGCAACCCAACCAACTATGACAACTTCATCAGTATCAAGTTGTATGGTTCAATCGGAATCTGTGGCCGTTGTCAATGTTCCTTGTGTTAATGAATCTATTTTAACAAGTACTTGTGCCATTTCAGATGACCAAATTACAATCAAGTCAGCAACGGTCTCTAACTCGAAAGGGTATCAAACCGATTTCATACCTAACAATCAACAACGATTAACTCCTCCAATGACATCTGATATTGGCAATGATATAAATAATGTTGAAAATAAGTTGAATAATGAAAGTGGTCTGGCGAAAAAGAAGAAAAAATCAAAAGAGTCTAAATCAAAAATATTTTGTCAACAAAAAATGATGCAAGGACAGCAATCGACGTGTAATAAGAAATACAACTCAATGATTAATATTGTTCCTATCCATACTGACGATCTAAACAAAATATCAAACAAGTCATTATTGTCTCATACAACTTGTAAATCTGTTGAAGTGACAAGCCTTAAAAAGTCGGGAGATTTAAAGGATCATGAAGGGAAATTTTTCAAGATGCGACCTACCACTAATACTACAATTACGACTTTGAATAATATCCCTGACTCTGAAATAAAAACCAATTTTAAAGGAACGAAGAAGCGTAAACTGGAAGATTCGAAAGATCAGAAATCAATTCTAGATGAATACGAGTTTCCTGATAGTCCAACTCACCCTTCTACGAAAAAAGTGAAAAAAATCAACTTGGAAAATTCGAAGAAAAAAGTATCGGAAAAATTTGCAAGCAACAACAGCTGTTCAGTTACTATAAACAAAAAAGTTACACTTAAATCAAAAATGAAGGTTAATCAAAGTTTTACTGGAAATACTGCCTCGACTAAACTAAATATTAGTGATAAAACAGAAATAATCAACATTATTAGTCCACGTCTTAGTGCCGTTAACCAACAATTAGAATGTAATAAGATAAAAATAGAAGAGAAAGTAATGAAAATATCTGGCTCAATGGACAAAAAGCAGTTTAACAATAGTAATATGAATAATTCAAATTTTCATCCAAATACATCCAATCACCAATCTCAAAAAATACACAAAGATTCCTCCAAAGTACCATCTATAATTGTTCAAGAAATTTTACCTTCATCTAATCCTTCTTCATCGTCATTATCTCAATCCTCCAACAAAACCATTACTAATACCATTAATATAGTTAGTATTAGTAAAAAATCAACACCAGTATCTAATCAAAGTAAAAAAGAGTTATCTGTGCGATCGTGTGTAATTAATAACTCGGCCCCAACAAATACATTGACAACCATTGTTCCAATTCAGACTAATACCTTAAATGCTTCAATCATCATAGCTAATCCACCAACTACAGCAAATATAACATCAACCGCCATAACTCAACCGCCACAAACTCACTTACAACAAACAACTGCAATTCAAAACCAGCATGCTCATCATGCCAGTTTAATTAAAAATTTAACTAATCAAAACGTTTTAATGCAAAGCACTGCAACTAATACACCTAGAAGACGATCACAAGACAAGAAAGCACTTACCATCAGAGAAGGTTTGATGAGAACTGGAGATTTTGTTGTTTCGCTGGACGAGACTGAATCTGAACTTCCAATGATCTGGAGGATTGAGGGCAAAAGCTTGTTACAACGCTTCGAGCCAAGTGAACAAGATGGTCAAATTGTTTACACAAACACATCCTCGGTAAATTTAATTTCATTCAAATTGACGATTTAAAATTCACTAATCATGAAATGACCATAGGCTTAAGATTTAGAAACGACTAGTCAAAAAATATGGAGAAATTTAAGCAGTAGCTTAATTAGTTTAACTAGCTTGATTTTATTAATTTTTATTTCATTTCAACCTTTGGGTGACATTGTGCACCCTTTAAGTTGATGTAATATTCTTGATTTACTCTTATATAGTGTTTCAAGATTCATATGCTTGTTTAAATACTACTCTAGTTTCACTTAATACTATCTCAAGTGTTTCTGATATTCTGATTTTCCAGCTAACTTCATCACCTCTAAGACGACAAATTAGTTATTTACCTATGAATTGTAAGATGAACTAGTATTTAGCTTTTTTACTCGTTCTTGAAGTTTAATTTTCGATAAATTGTGCACTTCGGTAGTTGAATAATTTTTACTTTCTTTCACTTAATCATTGATTATCATTGCAATGCAAATAATTTTAATTATTTGATAGTGAATTTTTAATTGAGCACATTAACCTGTTTAAGCACACTTTTTAATACGTTAATTCTTTTTTTATAGTATTCTGCGTGGAATCCAACTGTTAAACAACGTTACACTGGTGTCGATGTAAGAATAGTTGGCTGTAATCGTACAAAAATTGTTGTTGAAAAACTTGGTTTAACTCGCAATAATATTAATTATGAGAAACTTGACTCAGAGAGGAGATCTGTTAATGGTCCAAATATTATCTCCAATGGAGAAATTATTGTTGAAAAATTGAAAGCACCCGAAGATAAGCCAGCAAACAATTTCCAACATCAAGCCGATTTTGAAGTTTTCATTCAAACATTAATAAGTCAAGCCTTAGATGCTAATTTTATTTCCGAAATAATTAAAGAAAATGGTGAGCTCTTTTCCCTTATTTATCTTATATTGATACTGAATTGACGATGATATTAATATCTATATTTTTTTCTTTTAATTTACAGACGAATATTTTCTTTCGCATATTCAAGCCATCGATGATTATTGTATTAAAAAGAAATCACGTTTCTTTACCAAAGTTAAATGGGACGCTCACATTGTGAAATGTGTTGAAATCTTCTCAAGCTTTAATGTTATCCCTCAATCTCAAATTGGTGACTTGAGATGTCGAGTAAGTTAATCATCAATTTACAATTGCAGTAAAGTACCAGATAATCTCAGTAACTTGAAATAGCCTATGTACACAGCGAGTGCTACTTGTTGAGCAAAATGATAAAATGAATGAAAATAACTATCAAAAGCAAAGAGATTGAAAGGCTATTGATTAATTTATTGATATTATTTGCTTCTTTACTGTAACTTATCCAGAAAAATCTGAATCTGTTTATTTGTTTGAATACACTTGCAAAAGTGAATAATTTCTTACATTTATGTATTTACTAATCCAATGCTTTCATTACTCTTGCAGCTTTGCCACGATAACTGGAGCACTCAAATTTTGAATTTTACTGGTAAGATGTATGACCAGGTTACCCTTGAAACAAAGGAGCCAGTAGATATCAAACAAACAAAATATGCAGCTTGTGATGAATGTAAAGAAAAAGTCGCTCTATTTTCTAATCTTCATCATCAGAAATACAACTTTTTTACAAAGTGCCGTGAAAAGGTGAGTTGATTTAATGGTTGAATATTATTTTCTTGATGCTAGGTAGAAAATTAAACAATTGTTTTTTTTCTAAGCCGATCACTCCCATTGTATTTAAATTATATTGACAATTTGTATCTTTATTATTTATGTAAACCAGGTTGAGGAAGTGAGGGGTGGAGTGGAAGACAAAGACTCTCCCATGATTTTAGAAGAATGTTTGAAGGACACAGAATGGATGCAATCTGTAAGTTAACCCTTCTTTAAACTCTGATGATGAATTTTTCTTATATCATCATTTATTACTGATCTAAATTTGAATATTGCTTATTAATCCATCTTATTTTTTCCATACAGCTATTCAAGCAATTTGAGGAAATATGTCAATCATGTGATCGAATAAGATGATTTGAATTTCAACCTCGTAATTAAAATACAGTCAAAAAATGATTTTAATGTACCATAGAAAGAAAAGCAAATATTGTAAAGTGTTTTATACGCAAAAGTTGGCAAAAACATCAATTTCTGTTTTCACTTTTTCAAATCTTATTTTGAAACCATTTTGGATGCCCTTTCGAGATTGCTTTCGAAACAAGTCAGATAAAAATGATCCAAATTCATGAAATGGCCTGTTTATTTATCGAATACTTCGTTTTCTTCATTAATCAACCTCGTAAATCATGTGAAGAAAAGAATGGAATATGAAACATTCAAAGTTTAGACGAAGCTTATGTTATACTACATAAGCTTGGGCATAAAATCTTGTTAATTGATCTCATGTAAAGCGCACATCTAAAAAAACAAGGTTCTGAAAAGATTTCATCTGCTGAAAAGCATCACCATTCATCGTAATCGTCATCTTCATTTTTTATCATAACTTCGATTCATCTTTCAGCTTGTAAAATCTATTTAAAATCTCAAGTAACAAAAAATCAACTAAACTTTAAGATGCAAAAGAGAGATTTATCGTTTTGCTATGTTTTTGATTTTAATCAATTTCCTTTTTTTTGTTTTTTTGGAGATGACGAATGTTAACCCATGTAAAGGATGTAAAAATTGCTTTAATTTCAGAACTTATGTTCTCTCTTGGACCATTGTTTTTTTTTGTCAAATAATAACGAATCACGATTGCACTTATTCCAATCTTCTTTGTTTTTTTCTAAATACGGCCTAATCTTAAAAGTCTTAATCTACAACTGTATGCACATGAAATCTATTCAATGAAACTCATGAATGTGCATCAACACATGTTATTATCGAGTTACCCTTGAATCCAATAAGACAAAATAATACTCTTTATTTAGCCTGTAATAGCAATCAAACAAAGTTTAATTGTATCTAATTGATGGAAATATATGTATTATTTTTGATTCTTTTTCATTGAGTGTATATACATGATTTAATCGAATTAAAATTCGTAATGTGATCATATTGATCTATAACAAACGACATTAAACTATTGCAAAAATAAATTATTAACATGGACTTGGATTTGACCATATATTCAATCAATAAAACCTTCAAACTCTAGTAACTTTAATCAGGTTACAGTGGGTGATAATCAGTCAAAGATTAGCTTTAATTTGTCAAAAATCCGTCAAACAATTTGAATTTATAAAAGGTGATCTAATTTGTTGTGAATCTAATTCCTGTGGCTTACACACACGCACAACTTATCAAACAAATAAACATCATTTTAAAATGAATGAAAAACCAAAGGCAAAAATAATGACCACTTTGGGTAAATAATACTAATATTACTGGGATGAATAATCTCACAGTTAAAATGTCTAATTTGTTAGGAATTGAAATGAATGAAAAGAGATAAATTAACATCATTCATTTGCCCAAACTAATAATCAAAAACATTAAAAATAATTTAGGTTGACATTTCAATTTTTCGCCTACTATTGGCCATCACTGTTCAATTATCAAATTATTAACCTTAATTAACTCAAACCTTTGTATCACATAATTCAGTGTTAGATGTTAAATTTTACACGAGCCAACTCCTGGGAAGTTAAATGGCTTAGTACTTGATATTTAGTAATGCCTCCACATTTGTATTTTATTGCAATTAATGGATGTATTCATATGAGAAACAAGTAATTACAATAAAAATCAACTAAGATCACCAATTAAACTCCCCCAACTTGAGGCTATCGAAGACAATCTTAAGACAAATAACCTGACCATTACAAATGATTACCAATTTATACAAAAGCCGTTTATCGGGCGTCTCAGCAAATTCATTCAATCTCAATATTACCATTGAAAACCATTGACTTGATCAAATGCAAATCTATTGAATAGTCGATTGATAGAGTTGCTTCGAAATATTAACATTTGATTTTCCAATTTTCAATCGTAATGAACATTTTTCATAGATTCATACCAAAGAACGATGTTTAATTATATATCGTTAATGTTTGCTTTTATAAACAAAATTGTCCATTCAAAGTAATCATTAGGCTATTAGATTAGTTTATAAATATGTTTATCATCGTTACATATGTATAATTATGGCTATTATTAAGAGTATTTTGAACATTATTTTCATCTTTATGATTACTGTTAACAGGAAGACATCACACTGATCTGACAATTGCCAGATGAATTATAATTTAGTATTTTTGTCAATAAATATCAGCGTAGGCCATTTGCTCGTGGAAATAAATTCAGCTTATTTAAAACATATATTATAAGTAACTCTGATATGCCCGCAGTATAGTCAAAATTCAGGTATAAAAGGACAGTTTGTCCAAACAGATGACCATTGGAACCAACACTGCTCTAGATAACTTGCCATTGATCAACGACAAACCAACTTTGGTAAATGTTAAACAATTTAACTTGTGATTAAACCATCAGTTACTTAAATCCTTCATTCAGTAATCAATTGAATCGTCTTTAGCTTGACACAACCATCGAACCAACCTTGATTGGTAAGTCATATTGATTTTTACATTTAAATAAATTAACAACTTCGCTCAATTTTTTTCTGATTTTCCAATTGCTTAACATTTTTACCTTTTGGTTAAGCTTATTATCTGACAAGGTTGACTTAAAATTGAGTAAAGTTAATTTAATATTAATAGCAATTAAAAGAAAAAGGTTAACCACAATGAATTAGCTTTTGTGAATTGTTAACGCTTCTAATAATAATGATGAAACTGAAGGTTCTTGTGATTATGTGATTGCCTGAGAAATGCTGTAAGATATTACTCCATGATGTTATTGTTTCAAGGAAGTCTCAATTCAGGGTAATCCGGAAGCAAATTAATTAGATAATTAGAAAGAAAAGATGATAAAACGATAAAAATTAACTCAAGGGTTAAATTGTCCTTAAATAGTAAACCTTGGGTTAAATGTGAATCAAGAATTGATTGAGAAGACGATGAAGATGAACCATTGATTAGGCTAAAGATGAACGTTATTGACTCTTCAATATAAATCAAGTTCGAGATCTTGTGACTTATCACTGGTTCATCCACCTTGAATCATATTTTACTCAATTTCTGGGTTAATCTTTCATTTATTTTAATGCCTTAATTGATAGCAAGATAAGATGATCAGAAACTGATTGATTAAGCAAACACTCTTTATAATTGTAGTAATTAGATTTCATTTGAACTTGTGAAACGACAATTTCATCTATTTTTACCTTTACACTTGAAGCGAATCCATAATCGGATACATTTTATATTATCAGGAACAAGTCGTTATTCAATTCATTCATCCATTATTGCCACAATAAAAAGTTGACAATTTGTCTTATTTTCACTATTTATTGAGTCTAATTTTTCGTCTTTGATTGTTATTTCATTTAATCACTGGATAGTTCATTTTTGCATGTTTCTTGTAAAAATTGTGATTCTTTCATTTTGCTATCCAAGGCAATCAATTAAAAGTTGTAAATGATATTTGAATTAAAAGCCGATAATTATCCTTGACTAACGATTGTCACTAAGGTCATCCTGAGATTCCTTACAGTTTTGTTATCCCTTCAGGATAGTTCAATGAGTGTTTTCTTCCTTTAGCTTCACTCGATTTTTAAGCATTACATCGTTCACTTGCTCAATACAATTGAAAATACAAAAGCATTATTCATCGATCATTGAAATTGATTAACAATTCTTAGGTCCCTCTTTTGGCTGATAAATTAGCTTGAAACTTCTAGTCAAGACTGCATTTCCTCTGATAATGTGCGAGTATCTCAGCGGGTGATTACCTCGTTCTAATTCCAACGGTTTCCAATCAGTTATTGCGAATACAAAGAGGGAGGAGTGTTTTGAATGTTGAATTAACCAGATTAAGCCACACAAATCCACCTTCATCTCTTGAAATAAAATATTGATAATAGCTTCTTAGCACCTTTTCATCCAGTTCAAACTTTCACTTACAATCTTCGAGTGGACAAGTTGTCTTTTAATTGTGTATTTCATGGCAATATTCAATTTTCCCAAATTTATCTTGTTCTTTACTTAGATCAATATTATCATCAGAAATCAACTAAAACCAAAATCGTCGGAGGAATCGATATTGAAGTAAACTCGAAAAATGTCCGCATTAAAAGTCAAAGCAACCATCTTCATCATAATCTCAATGTTTGTAATCCAAACGCTTTCATCGAGTATGAATATTCATTTGCATAAAAGAAGCTTCAAAGATCATTGTGATGGTAAATTTGATTTATCCCTTTATGCTCGTTGTGACCGTGTCTGTGAAGTCTGCTTGGAAATGTACAAAGACGTTCATTTACACGCTGAATGCAAGTAAGTTATCGTTTATTCCTAATTTGGTCGAGTCTTCTAGATTCAAAATGTGTATTAAATCTTTACTTTGTTATTTCATCTTCAGATCCAATTGTTTCAATAATTCAATATTTGAAAAATGTGCGATTGCTGTGTTACCAGAGTCCGATGCCAATAGCCTAATACAAAAGGTGAAGGATCTTTTCAAAGCGAAGTAAATGGCTGCCATGAGACGCATTCGGGTAAATCGATAAAAGACACTTTTTGTCTTCATCATCTCTACTTACTTACAAACTTACATTTTGGCGAGCTTCCTAACAAAATTGATTGTTTGTTTTTGATTAAACATCAACAACATCTCAATGTATTATTTAATGTCCAGACTTCTTATAATCCCACCAACATCGATATCATTTAAATTATTTCATGTTCATCTTAATAAAAATCTAAAAGGAAAAAGAAAACTGTAGTTTATTTATTTTTTTTGATTTGATTGTATCATCAAAAATCTTGATCGTGCAATTAAAATGTTTAATAAAATTATGAAATTCAAAAAAGGCGCTTTCGATTGAGGGAGCCACATGTAAACTGAAACACAGTTACAGAAAACTGATGAAAGCTTTGGTATTTTTCAATTCACTATGAATGATACAATAGTTGCATCGAGCTTTAAACACTTAATCGTCCATACTTTTCTTCAGTTTAACTAATTATTCTAATTCCCATGTTTAATATTTTTCCTGTAAATATTTAGTTTGATTGTCCAGAATGTATCGAGCAATTCAACCAAGCTTCAACTGTGACACGATTGATTAATGTTTGAAAATTAGCTTTCTTGTTTTTAATTCGTCCAAATACTTTATTGATCTACTTTTATTGGTTTCCATTTTTTTAAATTTGATAAATTTTGTTATACAATGGTTAAGATAAGTTCACTTTATTTTAATCTCAGTTTCTACCAATTGTGTCAGAATCTGCTCCTTCAACTACCTATCATCTTAACATTATTATTAACAGGTAAAATATTAAGTTGTTTCTTATTTATTCATTTTCTGTTGCCAATCAAAACTGTTCACTTAATTCTTTCTGGTTTTAAGTAGCTTGACAAGATATTTTTTGATTTTTCCGTTGAATAAATCATTTTGAATAGAAAAGAGTTTATGAATTCTAGTTTGTTTCAAGATGACAAAATGATAGAACCAAGAGATGGCGTTGGTCTATTTTGTCAAAAAAGTATTTTGATTTCTAGTAAATTAAGCTTGTAAAAGCTTTTGTAATAAACTTTAGCAAATTTAGCTTACTAATTTCATCGCTTGAAGGTTTACGAAGTTTCGTTCAATAGATTATCGACATTTACCTGTATATTTAGTTATCCTTGGGTTAGAGATCTACAGTTATTTTCAATCTTTGACATATGACTTGAGAAATCTAATAGAACTTGTTTTTATCAATTTAGACCGTGAATGTTTTAAACAGGTGCATTTTTTGCAAATGAAAGGAGATTATTGAAACAAGTCTTTTTTCCGTGTAAAATCAAAGTTAATCTTGTTCAAGTTGATCATGTGTTAATGTTCATCAAAATGGCTCTTCTATTTAGTCATCACATTTTGTTTCTCGTTATGTTAGATGTTCCTTCAAGTTTGGCTCATATTGGTCAACCGTGTAATTTATTGGGAATATGTTGGCCTCCTAATTTACATATATACTGTGATGATAACAAGATTTGTCAATGTAGACCTGAGACTCCTGTAGTTGTTGGTCCACATCAATGTAAACGTAACAAATCTCATGGTGATAAGTGTTCATCCGACGGAGAATGCGGATTTTCGGACACCAATTCTATCTGTGATTCCAATCAGTGTAATTGTAAATCTAATTTCACGTATGATCCATACATTATGAAGTGCATTCATGGTGAGTAAAATTTTCTTCAATATCTCTCAACTAACCTTACGCATACTGGTTCAATCATGAAAGAGTGATAGAGTTGTGAAGCTGTTAATTTTCCATTTCCTATTGAATTGATCAACAAAATACCTGTTTTAGAGGATAGATCAACCGGTACATTTGAAACTTGTTAGCAAACAATCAAAATTTCCAGCTTACAATTCAGCAGTATTGTTTAAATTTTCCATATATTGTTTGACCTTTCATTATTCCCTTTCAGTTTTCATGTTATGTAACAAGCTGAGTTATCAATAGAGCGAATATTGATATGGATTAAGGAAAAGAATCAACAAGCTTTGATCGTTACAGTTTAGTAGTCAACCCATGCCTATATCCTGTATTGAGACAGCTATAAATTTTAATAATTTCAACCTTATTTGTAATTTGAGGGATACAAATTTGCAAATTTGTTACTTCATTTATACAAAATGATTTGATATAAAAAGGGCGGGAGAGTCAATTGTTTCTAAATAAGTAGCCAAACTAGTTTTCACAATTGCACTCCAATTGAACAATCGTTAGAGAAAAAAGGAAGAAAATATTGATAAAAGTAATTGTACTCTTGAAAGGTTGATTGAACCAGTTGATCATTTTACTAATCATCATTTATTTAAGCTTATTTATTAATTTAATTTTCCTTGTTTCCTTTCTTTTCATGTTTGCGCCATGCTCATCATTCAAAAGCCTCATTTCAACAAAGATCATCTTTTGGTGCATTTTTCACAATGCTGTCATCAGCGGCTCTTTGGGTCGTCCTGGTTTTAATTGCCTTACTCATCAGCATACCTTGCTGCTTAGCCTTCATGTACCATTGTGTTTGCTATGATAACGCAAATACAGAATCATCACTATGCCAAGAATCAAGTATTCGATTGAGATTATCAGAGACGGGATTTAGTAATTCAGATACAACTAATACTTCAAACGGTGCAATTACAGATGGAGAAAATGATGCTCGAATTTCATTGCGAAATGATGATAACTCAACACGCCAGTCCTATGAGTTGAGTAGTTTTGATGAGCCTCCACCATCGTATGACGAAGCTTGTAAAAGATATCAGACTTCGCCAATATTGAGTAATGACACAGATGTGGCTGATGATTCTTTAAAATAAAAACTGGCCATTTATTTGAATAAAACCATGTAAAATAATGGATCAAGATGTGTTCTCATGCTGTTATCTGCTTTAAAAAAATCTCGTCAAAAGGAAAAGAGTAAAACATTTCTCTTCTCTACCTAAATTACTTTAACCAGAAAAGGATTATTGGTTTAATCCTCGATAATGATATCAACACTAGAGTATCAATGATGAACCTTGGAATATTAAAATGATGAGAAGTATTCTAGTCACAACTCTCTTGCAAATCATCATTGTTTCCATCATCATCGTGTTAAAAGTGATGTTTCATTAAAAAATATGGCTCATCATCTGCTAATGAGTACATCTCAAGGATATTGTTTTTCAAAGTTTTAACACCTAAAAACACACATTCGACTTTCACTAGACGCCCAATACAAAAGCTGATTACAACAAAACAAACATTAACTGTTCTAGTAAAGACAAAGACGAAACACAAACGTAATGAATAAATCGTTCTTCTATTCAAAGTCTATTCCAGAATCTTTTTTCCAGTGTCAAAGGACTTGCATAAATTTACACCAACACAACAAAAACAAGATTCTTCTCGACAAAATGAGGAAAATGCCAATTCAATTTGAATCAAAGAATATTTCCTTTCATTGTTTCAGCGTCACAAAATAATCTTTGTTACCAATTTTAATTTTATAATTCATTTTTAAAATTGACTTTTTTCTTGTAAAAGCAAAAAAGAGGAGAATGTTTCTCAATTTTGTCAGAATTTCTACCAACAATTTAATAAACGAAGGCAAACAAAGCCTTTACTCTGTAAAAGATGCAACTTGATGTTAAACAACATTGACAATCGTCGTTGGCTTTTTAATAGGAAACTCGTTGACTGACTTAATAACCAGAAACGTTATGAGCTGATAGTCATTACATAAAAGATTCATTGTTGGAAAAGGAATAAAATATTTTGATATAAAAAAGATGTTGAATATTTTCATGTTGAAAGTTTAAATAAGCAAAATGAGCCAAAGAAAGTATATCATTAAAGATGACTTTGAATCATAAATGATGAAGGTCATTAGATGAACATCACCAGATGAAAGTTTCCAGAAGAAAAGGAATAACAAAAGGAATAAGATTGAGTAAATATTCACCCAATGAAGAGCCGAATGAAGATTGGAAAGCATTGGAAGATAGGATAAACACTAATTGTGTAAACATTATTGTGTGATTCACAAATTGAATGTTACACTAATTAGAACGATCATTATTAGATATAACCATAACAACGGATTCATCATGAAAATTGATCATTTATGGAAGGTGAACCTTATGATTAATTCGAGATTCATTTTCACAGGAAAAAATGAGTTGAGCATCAACATGATCTTAATTATCAAACTTTTTTACAAATCACATAAATGAATGTTATTAAATTGTTTATCATCATTATTTAGACATCAGTGAATAAAGGCAATGATAATAAAAAGGCAATTGCATCTGGTATCAGTTTTCATGGTGATGATAATTATTTATGTTGGTTACTTTTCTGGTGATTAATGAGATAAAGTGACGGTTAAATAACAATTAATGACTTGATTGACAGTTTTTACTCAACACTTGTCAATAAACATTTAGTTAAAAAGAAGAAGCTAAATGATGAAAAAAAGTGATAATGGTTGACACCTAAAGTAGGTAAAGATCAATAAGCCAGAAAAAATTAAATCCATTTCGATTCTTATTGACGGACAATTTTCTTAATCAATTTAATTTAGTGCTCATCTTTCCACTGATTTGTGCTCTTGAGTGACTCACGCTTTTCATCAACATTAGTCATGTTTCACTTGAAAACTGTTTTCAGATAACACAACATTGATTTAATTATATGCTCAATTATCAATCATTTTACACACAATTGGTTTGCGCATTTGAAGAAGCTCGTAATCCAGATTATCAGTAAACTGTCTAATCTTGTTCCTTATGATACTGATTATAATCAAATGATTGCCATTTTGGCATCAAGTCTTTACTCAATGGTTTGTGTGTTTCATGAAACAGTAAATGTCGATGGTTAGAAACATGAAAAGATTTCATGTATTTCAAGCTTTCAATTGTTGATTGGTGAACACAAGAACTGATGATACAGATTAATAATGGTGTTAATAAAGCAAAACATGGACGACGATTGAGCTTGTTTCCTAATCTCAATTAGTTGGTTATTATGGGTTTCAATTGAAAGTTGATTTCAATTGTTATTCATTCACAATTTATACATCATTTACGATTAAGAGTGTGATGATGATGGATCAGGGGTAAGTAATTAGATTGTATGTAAATACTAAAAATAAACTCAGTATTTATCATTTCACTTTCACTTTCACTTTATCCATTCACAGTTTGTTAATTCAATGACTGATCCTTCATCATGTAAGCGGCAAACAAATAAAAGGAAGAGTCGAATTTAAAGCTTCACTGAATAGTTTTGCTGTTTACTGATGTCAACAATTAACAGAAGATACATTAGCATTTGTTGGATTCACTTCAATTCCAATCAATCCAAGCCTAATTTAAACCATTTAGACAATTTGTAATTTTTTAATCGCAGCTTCTTTTAGCGAATAATTAAACTCAAATATTCAATGTTCATGTTTACACAATCGATGAATGGTTCGAGATCAATTAAACTTCATTGTTTCCGTCTTAACCCAAGTGTAATTTGACTTCAATTAGCGATGTTAACACAAATTTTAAACATCATTAAAGTTAGTATTAACTGTGTTCAATGATTCGTTTATTGTTCAATAAATAGTTCAATTATTCAGGTTTTCCGGCAAGTGACCTGCTAATTTGCTCATCAACTAAAAGCAATGATTTATAGCAAGAATAAATTATTGCACTGTAATAAAGCGTAAAGTCGGAAATGATTAATGAAGAACAATCAAAACAAGAAAAGTAATAAGATGAATTGATTGAAATCTTAGACAATCAAGTATTTCATGAATGCTATCGTTGATGAATGAAAGTTATCGTTAAATTGCTGCTTGATTCTCACATTCGAATTGACATCAGGAAAATTTGATTACAAGAAAATGATTTGTTCCAGCTTGGAAGATGATGCAAGTGATCAAGAATATTTTTCAGGATTAGTGATGAAAACATCAAAATATGATGTAACCGAGATGAGACCAAACAATAACTTGATCTCGAATGCCATTCCAAAAATCAGCGACAATCTCTCTGAATCACTATAAATCTCCATGAACGATTCCAATAATGTCTGTTGAAGGTGCTTCAGTTGAATCTCTTTGAGAATTAACAGTTCATTTTCCTCTCGATAATTGCATCTTGATCAGACAAGATCTACATGACTATTCAGCCAATATGTACAGATGTAAGATGTTAATCTAGAATAACTTCACGGACAGAGGAAGTATTGACTTTGAATTTAAGTACAGTACTTGACACAAGTGAGTGACATATTGACATAGTTACAAGACCATCCATTTTGAGTGACATTCATTTGTACCCAGTCATTCAAGGCCAATCTGTCATTTGACCTCTGTCCAGCCATTAGATTCGATTGCAATTCAATTAACATTCAATTTAATTATACTTTTGTCATTGATTCTGTTTTCAATTCTTAGTATTCTTATATGTTAACTTTTTTGTGTGAATTCTCTAGCCTTCTCAATCTTTAACTGAACGATTGGTACTCTTTGCCTTTTCTACACAAGAAGAGTGGTCGAAATGACTCGAAACCAACATTAAGATTGAGTATTAGTTTGATTACAAACCACTCAAGATGATGTATGTAAAATCACTTTGAAATAAATAGAGTGAAAATTTGCTTTAATCACTTTTGAGCAATCAAGGTGGATGATCATTCAAATGCTATACGCAATTGATTTAAATGACAGTTTGTTCGACGAAAGCTTTTATATTCCTTAATACAAATCAGTGTCTCAACAAAATTAAATGTGAAAGGATTAAAGACAAATTGTTTGTATATCATGCGTTGCACAAATGAATGTATTGATAGTTATGACCATCCATTAGTTATCAATTAATACGACATCATATGAATTTAGCTGATCAAAGAGAACATTTATTATAAATTATTTATGTAGAAATCAAGAAAAAGATGAATGTTGTATTGAAGAATGGATAGAATTAAGAAGATTAATATAATTGCGAAAAGGATTGTAAGATAATCTCATTTCATTTATTGTAGTTGTTCGTAAGTTTCGATTGAATCTTGTCAATCAATATTTATGGTAAGGCAAAAATCAAATTTTGGCGGGAATGCTGTGCCCAAACTAAGCAAGCTCTAAAGTATGCTAAAGTAAGCTTTTCATATTGCATGAAATTCATGATTAAACTGCAATTAGGAAAATAGCCTGAGCTCAATCAGAATTCAGGTTATTGAGAAATTCTTGTTCAACAGGCGGATTATCAATATCTATATAATTATTGAATTTGGAGAAGAATAAAAGATAATTTAGAATTTTATAAATTTTTGAATAGGTTGGGATCAAAAGCAGGAAGAAAAAACGAAAAGCCCAATAAAGAAAGTCAAAATTGGTAGTGTTTTCTGTATTTGGAGTAAAAGTGACCATAGATGGTGTTCTAACGAAGTGCTTGAGACACAAAAGTTTGTGAGCGTTTGTAACATACCGAAAAGTGCACCTCAGAATACAGCTTATTCGAGTCCTGCAGTTTCACGTGGTACATCACCAACTAAGCCAACAGGAATGGGACCATTATAACCTCTGCAAAACGCTGTCTATTGATATTTCCATCCATGAAAATCGGCCAAAATATGCAAGAGGATGAAATTTTACGTCAATAGAGAATGCAGTATTTGATTATGGATCAATCAGGGAGTTTTCCCAAAACATAAGTTCTGATTATTGCCCTGCATTGCCTGTTGCTGTGTAAGATTGTATAACAGCTGGACTGAAAAAAAAATCTAGTCCAAAAGGAGTGATGCACAAAGGCTCTGAAATGCAAAACGATCTGTTCCATGAAAATTGTATCCTTCCAGATCAAAATAGCTTTCATCATCTATGATAATTTCAATATCTTTAGTTAAATTCTACAACCTTCAAAGTCAAGTCTTTTTTATGTTGCTTCTGTTCAGTTGGCATTCCTTATTTCTTTTAAAATTTTATTTCAATACGATCAATGTATGACTGGGCAACGCTCTTGCGTCGAGAACTCAGGAAATGGTGAATACCCTGAAGTTGGAGGTCCGTTATTTCAAATTTTGATGAATTTTCAACAAACAACAAACATGCAATCACGAAAAAAATTCTCAGGCCATCCAATAGTAAATTCATAATATGATAGCGATAAAGTGGTGCTTATTCCGAAAATTGCTTTGCGTTATTAAGGAAAAGCAATAGTTTAAGCATGAAAAATGAACATGAAGCTGAAAAATAGAGTAAGGGAAATGAGTTTTTCTTGCATTACCGCAGCACATTATCAACATTATAAATTCAAATTCATTGAAGAGTCAGTTGCAGGGATTTTTAGATAACTTTTTGAATATTTGTTTTTAAGAATGAAGTAGATTTAGAAAAGATGTACATAATTCGATATGAAGATATTTTCACATAAAATATTTCACAAATAAACTTTACTGAACAAATTCTCATGAATGATTCTCGGAGTTATCAAAAGCCAACTAGATCAAACTCACATTAACATTCCACAAGTTCCTTGGATACGATTTATGACAAATATCGCTCTGAGATTGAGATCTTGAGAGATCACCATCTTGATCGTCAAATTGAGAAATTGAAATTTGAATCAGAAAATTGGTGTCATTTTTCAAGTGTTACATTCATTTTTAGATTGTACTTGGATTCATGGTCAAAGGTTGTAATGAATGTGTGAACTTTACTCAAATTATCCTTTCAAGTTTAGATTTGGCGAAATATTAATATAATGCTTTGGGAATGTTGATTCCCAGTGCAGCTTTCGTCATTACTCACATTCATTGAGAAGCAAATAAGGAAGCAGATGAATTTGAAGGAAACTGAAGAAGAAAGGATTAACAGAGAATAAAATGAAATTCTATGATGAATAAAAAAGAGGAAAAAATGAGTAAACGAATAATAATAGTAATAAAGTGAGAAAGGTTATCAGACATGAGCAGATTCGAATGATTGAAATAGAATCGGTGAGAATCTTGAACAGCAGAGTGAAAGTTATATGATAAAATCTGTTGATCAAAGAAGCTTCAAATTTTTTCTATTTCTATTATATTCTTGTTGAATGTGGATTAACCAATTAAACCTTGTTGCATGAAAAGTATCAAAAGACAGTCACCTTTAGACATAATTATAATCGGCCAAAAAAAGCGATCCAATTAAAATTGATAGTTACATTGAATAACAACATTGGATCAGAATCAATCAACAACTTCATTGTTCCCTGTATTTTTGATTAAATCCATTTCACTGTGTTTTTGTGTCTCATTCAGTTCCATCAATACCATTAATCTTTTAATACTTGAACCTGTTAATCCTCTCTTGACAAACACTCACTTCGAGTTGATCTCGAAACACTAAGCCCAAACAGTCCAATTGTGATTAACAGTCGAGTTTAACTGTTCAACTTTCTGCCATTATTAGTGTGTTATACAATGTCCATTGACGGAGTTACAACAATCTCAATCACAAGTAAAGGTTTGCAATTTTAATTACCATTTTAATCATCTCACACTTTGTACCATTTACAATTGCAAATTACATTCTTCACCCGATTCACCAAAAAACACAAAAATTTGCATAACAATCAATGAATTTGTTTTCACTTGTAAATGTTTTCTGTTTTCAGGTGAATTAGGAAAAACTGTCAAGGAAAAGTTAGATAGTTTGCTCAAGAAAACTCCTGGACTTGAGGTTCCACCCGAAGCTGGTTTCTTTCGTCGTCGTCGACGTCGAAGTCTTCATCTAGCCGAATGTCCATCCTATGAAGACTCAACTTCAGACAAAGAAGGTAAGCAATAAATGATATTGAATATCAGAGTATATCATTAGCATTGTTATGCCGTTCCTTGTGATACTTACATCAATAATTTATCATAATATTGTTGACATTAATGTAAACAGAATGTAATCAATGAATGAACGAATCAATCAATCAATTAATCAATATTTTAACAAGCGTAAGCCTTTCACCACCAAGAACATTATAAAAACATTCAATTGAGTAGACATCAAGTCAATAGTTTGTCACTGTTTCAATGGATTATGAATGTCTGATCAATAATTGGTCAACAAAAATTGTCTTTCAGCAAGAAAAGTAAAGATAACTAAATATCATTAATGTTATTATTAAGCGTAAGGTTTAGCCCAGAGGAATCTTGATTGGTTTGCTTGTAAAGAAAACAAATTAACAAGGAAATGGACATGAAAACAAATTAGGTCAAGTTTTGTTTCTCTTCTTCCCTTAAGTCATGGTAAATCCTCCCTCAACTGAATTATTATCTCAATCATGATATATGATAAACTCAATATTATCTTTGCTATCAATGAATTTGTCATTTGTTTGCCCTTTCACCATTAATTTTGCTTCAACATCCCTTTAGTTATAATGTTAATTGTTATTCATTTCAATTACTTTCAATTGTTTTTTTCCTCTTCTCTTTCAATATAAACATTGAAAAAGGTAAATGAAACTGAAAATCGATAGTTTCACTTTAACTTTGATAAATCAATTGAATCAATTTTACATTCACTTCAATTGTTGATTGTTTCACCTTTGAAAATGAATTGATTCAATGGTGAAAAAAAACTAAAAACAAACAAAAATGTTTTCTTTTTCTTACTTTTCCTGTCAAAAAATGAAACTAAAAATAGTTTTCAGATTATTGGTTTACATTGTTATTTCTCGATTATCATCGAGTGTTTCATTATTTTATATGAAAACACTCCTAGAAATTATGTAAATATCACTGTTATAACCTTTATTAATAAAACATTTGTTGTGGAATACAAATCATAACAATTAGATAATCAAACTGTCATTAAAATCGAATCAACTAATAGCCTTTCAGTAAATACTGTAATAATGATCATCTATTCCAAGACAATTTGAAATGTAATAACAATTATCAACATGTCATCAAATTGAATTCTTATCTTTTCTGGATAATTAATATTTAGTATCCTTTATTGATTCTTCACTTTTCATATCCAAAAAATGAATTACTTTCAATTTCATTCTTTTCACCGGATTCACTCATTTTTGAAATGAACAGCAATTCATTGACTTTTCGTTATCATTTGACGAATGTATGACAAGTCCAATGATCTCACCTAACTTAAGTTCAACTCTTTATCTACAGACATTGAAGGTTAACTCCAAAGGATTACAAAGGAACATTTGAAACTTTTAAGATTTTTCGATAATAATTCTGACAGTTAGACGCTCAACTTATAGTTTAGTCTAACAGGTTTAGTTTATTTTGTAAGTTGTGAATTCATTGGCAAATATCATTGATCCCGTTGGTCACCATTAATATTGAAATAACTGAATCATCTTTTGTTTCAAATTTAAACTCATTCAAACTAAATAACCTCAATTGTTTCATACATTATTACAATATAAATACATTTACTCTGGCAAGGCTGAGATAATGTGTTATATTAAATGTTTAATGGAAAGCGATTGAATAAAAGATGACATTTAAATGCATTTTATACTTTAAATTATTCAACAGTAAAGCTACTCGTTAGCATGTTATTAGTTCACTTTAATTTTATTATACGTTGATATCTTGCAGTTGAACTTAACCGCTTCCATTATGGATTATCCTGTTTCAGCATCAACTGTTGAATTTCAAGGCTTAATATTTTTGATAATATTTGATTGAACGGGATTTGTTGAGAGTGAAAAATAAATCTCGAGAATCAACTTGAAAGTTTATATCAATATCATTCTTACATGGAAAATAATCTAAGCGAAGATTCGATGAAACTTATTATTGAAACCTTTTCCACTTTTCCGGATTTCGCAGCTTCATGTAATATGTATGTGATTCATGAGTTTGTCATGAGTTTCTTTTTTATTATAAACCATTATAACTGGTCAATGTGTAATAGATTAATGTCTCAATAAAAAGTTGAGTGCAACAGTTTATCCAACAACTTGAACAAAATCCCTGAACTGAAGTCCCTTGAAACAAAACAGGAAAAACGATAAAAAAATAAGCAAACAAACAAATAAAATGTTCCAATTTTGTCATCCCACAGTTTTTACTCCAATAATTATATTGAACGTTGCTTGATCGCTTGAAAACACACTTAAATTGATATTCAATAAAAAAGCAAATTTTCCCATTGAATAAATTTCTATTAATAGATAGAATAGAGAAATATCATGATAATCCTTGTAACTTGAACGAAGACAAATCAGGTTATCTTTCACAATTAATAGGAATAGGAATTACTAATAAAATAGTTGATTCTATTTGTTACTCAAATGGATAAAAGTGTGTCATTCAATTTGAATCCAAATTGGTTTACCATTATTATACTATTACAATTATAATCTATCTGAATGTCGAGTAACTCAAATTTTGGGACAAAAAATCAATATGAATATACATTGTATTAATTTCACATTGGATCAGTCCATTCAAATCTCGATATAATTGCAACTCAAAATAAGTTTCACTTAAAGCTACATCCAAAGAGAGTAAAGTTGAACTTATGATGTTCCCACTGAACTAATACAGAACCGATTCATCGAATCTCGCTTTCCGATTGCAAAGGATTGATAGTTTAGGATCAACTGGCTATTGCAAAGGACGAAACTGAATGTTCAAAAGCAATACCTTGATAAATGTTTATTGTTCACTATTGACTTTGAATGGTCAACTATTTCAGTCTCCATTTCAATCGATAGCCTCAAGCCGTGAGTTTAAATGTTAAAAGTACAATCCTACTTCTCTTCCTTCATTTAATTTCCATCTTTGCAATTGAATTTATATCTGAATTTTTTATTTTTCTAACTCAAGTTTGTTCTGCTTGAAGAATCATTGCAAATCTCGTGATCATTCAATAACAAGTGAACTTTGTTTTTACCTTCTTTTACTTTTCGTTCTGATTGACTATTTGTGACAATGCGATTATTTAACTTGATTAGACTGTCTGTAAGAATCGACTTTGAATCCATTGGAAGTTGGGTGAAATTGCAAAATTAGAGATTTTCAGAGTTCTTTTAGTTTTCCTGACTAATTTGAATAATTTACAAAGTTGGCTTTTTATCCTTTTCTTTAACTTCTTTTGTTGTTTCAATTTCAGCTTCATTGTTAGTAAATTATCATAATGAATTTAGTTTCCTTTGGTTTTTTGTTTGTTTCCAAGTAATTCATTGATGTTAAACTTCGACATTTTTTGCAACAGTTATTACTACATCACAAACTATTGCACTTGAGCTCATCAAAATGAGTTAACATTAATTAAAATCGTTTTACTTTACTTGCATATAACAAACCAATAAGAGTCTAAAATGTTATTCATGAGAGTCAAAATTAATAACAGAAATTGTATCGAAACTGAATATCTTGCAAACAAGATGAAATTGACAAGCGAAGTAAATGCAGAGTTAACCGATCTCGAATCCATACCAATAATTGATTAACAAAGTGAACCTAAATCATCCTTGCAAGTCAAGTGCATTATAGTGTCGCATACAAGGTTTCATCGGAATGAAAGCATAACGTTATGCAGGGCTCATAACAATAGCCAAAGTTTATGGTCAGAATTGTTTCAACTTTAGCTAAACTTTGAATAGACTAACCTGATTTAAACAGTTTCATCTGCATTGATGGACACATTAGTTTGCAGCAAAACTGCATTATTATGTTAAACTCGTAGTTTATGCTAAATGATTTACCTTAATGAATGGAGCAATAAACTGGAAAGATTGATCCAACTAAGCTTGACCTGAAGTCGAGACTAAATTGCATTTACTTGTATTGATATTGCAATTGTTGCCAGAGCTGAATATTCATCAATTTACAAGTTTTAATCATAATTCATATGATAAATGGTGAAGGTATTCAGTTGAATGAACAATTCGTAAGAGCAAAACAGGCAATTCTAATAATAACTAAACAATCTTTCTTCATTGCCATTTCCATCACTCAATAGTCGTGATTATCACTTGGATGAACAGATTAATGCTCAGGATCAGATGCAAACTATTCGCTGGAAAGTAAAATAATTATCGATATCATTCCCAAGGAATATTTCATTTCTGTAAACAAACCAATATTTATCGAGTATCACATTTCCTTGTCAGACAATCACACATTTCACCATCTATTGATCCATGTAAACGTCAATTTAATCTTTCCTAATATTTTCAAAAGATTTACATGCTTAATAACTTGGTTAGGAAAGGAAAGATTATCTTGAAGCAAAGAAAAACTCCTACACTGCGAAGATCACAATTTCATTAACTGCATTCATTCAAATTGAATGAAACATATTTTACTAATCAAATTTTCATCAACATTACAAAATATCTTTTCATTTCCAATGTTTCGTTACAAGAATGAAAAAGGCTCAAATTTTTGTGCAACAAAAATCAAAGAATCTTTCAAAGGAGTTTACAAAAAATTCCAGTTTTACTGTTTCCAACTGAACATCAGAAGAATAATATGTTTTAAATTAACGAATATGAGTTCTTCTCTTGTATTTAATAACGAAAAAATACATTTACCATTGAGACATGATAGTTCAATATTGATTTACTCAAAGTGAGCAATCGAATCAAAGTTAGATGAATTTATTTCAACAACATTTCTTCCTTCCATTCAATCAATCACATTTCAAACTATTCTGCAAGCCAGAATATAAACCTTTGCACATTAAATCAAATTTTTTGCTCGTTTATGCACATCTCATGCTCTATTGGATTTTAATTAATGAGATAAATTGATAAACTTCTGAGATGATTTGCAAATAATGGAAAAGTATATTAAT